GGGCAGTGTCTTCCAGCTGATGGGTAGTGTCCCCACCACCACGCTCGCACCCGCGCGCGTCTCTGCTGCCCTACGCGACCCTACCACACACCGCTTCGGGAACTTTGCCAGGCCGGGGGACGTGTGATAACGCACAGTGACGGAGTGTTTTGTGCAGTGAACTTGTGACTTTCCAGTAAGAGAGTGAGGTCAGTGTAAGTGTTAGCATTATCATCTCCATCGGTATCTTGACCAGAATGCTTTCATTCACTCTAGCTTTCGTGGCCTTGCACGGACGGTGTAAACATTGACGCAACGCTGCTGTTATTGGGCTCGGGGCTACACGTAAGCTTGCTCTGGCGGCTCGAGTGCTGGTGTTCGGAACAAGTGTTCGTCTTTCTGGTGGTGAACAGCTCGACGAAAGAATAGACGTGGAAGTGTTCTTGATATTATCGCCGTCGCTTCGTCCATGTGAAACTCGCCCGCTGCGACTCGCCGGCGATACTGATACTGTGTCTGCTCGAAACCTCAACTCCTCCGGGCGCGGCGGTCGTCCTGGTCGTTCTCAGCTTCGCCGAATCGTCTCAGCGACCACCGAGGAGGTCCTCGCCCACTCGAAGTACCCGCAGGTGAATATGTACTTGTAATGTTACTGGTGTTGTTCGCGTTCGGGTGAGAGGCGTGTGCGCCGCAGAGTGAGACGACACGAGATCGTGCGAAACGCATTGGAACATCATCGGCTCGGGCCGTGCGAGTGGTGACTAAACGCCCTTAGTGATCGCCTGTTACGATTGCTGTTCATTAAGACGAATCAGTCGTGGTTTAAGCTTTGTATGCAACCGGTTCTGGGCGACTGAGTCTTTCCACGCCAAGAGTACTCATGGCCGAGGGAGGGTTTGAGGATCATCTTCCTCACGCGGGAGAGTTTTACGGAGGCATCTCATGAGCACCGTTACGTCTGCCCCCTCGTGCCCCGGCCAGCGTGCGAGGGCAGGCAGCCGCCACTCCCTCTCCGGTGCGAAATAACCTGCAGCTTGGGATCATCATAGTGACTGTTCGTTGCTAGCTGCAGGTGTCGCCCTAAAAGCCAGTCGTCCAAGGCTGCGGCGACTTTGGTGCCCGAGCGACATGCCGGGGCACGTGCGGAGGCCATTTCCTCGAGCAGCCCCCGACGCCCCCGCTCGCCGACGCTCAAATATACACGAGTTTTCTGAAGGTCATATTCACGCAGTGGCCAGGAATGTTCGGCTTACGGATGCCGCGGGTACGAGTCCGCTTTGGAATTAATGAAGTGCTGAGGCGCCGGGGCCTCCTCGGCTCCTGGCATTATCGGGGCGCTGGGCGGCTGCTGGGGGGCTGGCTGGACCTCCTTGTCGCACCTGGGACTGGCCAGCTGACCCTATGGAAATATGGATTTTGGGGTTATCTGCGCTCAAGCCCTAGACCTTCCCCGGTGTTCCCGGGTGGAGCGCCCGGCGGGGTTTCGAGAGCGTGTTGATACCAAGGCGAAAAGGGCAAAGTGTGTGGTGTTGCCGTTAGCCTCTCGGTCTTACAAGTAGCTGGTCCATTACTCTGAGATTGCACACGTGTAAGAGCTTAACTGTTTCAACAAGGTATACATCAGCGACTAAAAAGCAATACTGTAAGGTTTAGCTGGGAATTCCTCAAACGTTGTCGTTTATTACCAATAGTCTGTGATCGTAATGAGGATGTTAAGTAGTCGATTTGTCAGACTGTATTCATTCAATTTGAGCCTCAGATAAGTCAGCCGAGGCCTCGAAGAAGGCAGAACTGGCACTTCTTTTCCCGCGAAATGAATTCGAAAGGAGAGTCAGCCGAGGCGGAATCTCTGGTGCGATCGGCATCCGCGATCGCATGTTTCCGTTCCTGCGGCGCCAGGGCTCGCTCGAAGGCTGCGCCGCCCTTCCCACGGAGTCATGTCGGCCGTGCGTTTGCGTGCGGCTGGCGAGGCTCTGCTGCGAACGAGAACCGATCCCCTAAGTGTGCGTGCGGGCGAGCGCGCGCGTGTGGGTGTTGGCCTAGTTGGACAGTGACGTTGTTTACGGCGAGGGCTGGTGTCCGGGGCGGCCGTATCCCCTGGGGCTTTCTGTCGCCCGCTCGTCCTTCTTCCCCCTCGCTCGTTTCTCCCTCCTCCCCCCGTCCCCCGCCCCTCCCCCTCCCGCCGCGCTGCTGTCTTGCCGTCCGCCTTCCCTCCTCCTCTCCTCCTCTCCTCTCTTCCTCGTTCCTCCGTCCCGTCCCTTCGCCCTCGCCTCCCCGCCCCTGCCTCTTCGTTTGCTTCCTTTTATTTTTGCTACTTAAGTCTGTCGGCGGCGTCGTCCCCCTCGCCGTCGCCCCTGCCTCTCTCCCCCGCCTCATTTCGCGTCGCATCAGTTCTCTCCGCTTTCTTCCCCCCTTCCCTCACATTTCCCTCACATTCCCCTCGCTGGTCGTCACTTTCATTGGATTTCCATTTTTTCACATTCCTTCCCTATTCCTCTCGCTCCCATCAGATTTTCATTACTCTCTCCTCCACAGCGCTCTCTTAACCCCTGCGCGTCCCTGGCGGTTCTCTCCCTCTCCTTCCCTCTCCTCCGCTCCCCGCCTCCTCATTTTCTCTTTCCCTTCCATTCCTCGACTCTCACTCTCACTCTCCTCATTTTCGCGTTTCCCTTGCCTCTCCTCCCTTTTCCCTCTTCCTCTCACCCCGACTAATTCTCTCTTTTCAATTCTCCTTTCGCCTCCTCCTCCTCTCGCACTCACTTTTCCTCTTCTAGTTTTCTCATTCTCTTCTTTTCTGTTTTATTCGTTCTGATTCTCCCTCTCCTCCCGCCCCCCTCCCTCCTCACCTTCACATTTTCTTGTACTTCCTCCTTGTTTTCTCTTCGTTTCCCACTACTTATTTATGCGTTTCTCTCGCTCATATTCCCTTTCATAGTTATCCCCCATTTCTCTCTCTCTTTCTTTCTTTCTTTCTTTCTTTCTCTCTCTCTTCCTCTCCCTCTTTCTCTTCCCTTTCCCCATTATTCTCTCTCCTTTTATGGTGTCTCTTCCTTTCCTCCTTGCTATATCTTTCTTCTTCCCATCCTCTTTCCTCCTTCCCCTATCTTTCCAGATTTCCCCTCTCCTCCCTCCTCCCTCTTCCACTTCGTCTCCTCCTCAACCCCTCCTCCTCCCTCTTCTCATTCCCCATCCCTTTCCTTCCCCCTTCCCCTTCTCCCTTCTCCTTCTCCCCCCTCCCACTCCCCCTTCTCCCCCTTCCCCCTTCCCCTTCCCCCTTCCCCCCTTCCGTTAACGTCCCCGATTCCGCTTCGTAGTCTTGATCCCGACTCCTCCTCATCAGCTGATCAGACCCTCCTCGTTGTGAGGTGAATCTGCGTGTGTGATTTATTTCTTCGTTATCACCGGCGAGAGAGAGAAATTTGTAAATAGTTGTAAGTCTATAAAAATAAGTATCTCTGGAATGTTCTGTGGAGGTTCGTGTGGCAGTGGGGAGTGCGTGATGTTTATTTTCACCCGAGTTTTTCAGGCCATGTTGACAGTTGAAAGTAACTGATAATATTATTCAGGATTGAAATTAAATGGGTTGGAAAGGATTGATTTTATTAGTTTTTATCTGGACTTGATGTTCCCTTCAATAGTATGGTTGTAAATAAATAAGTGCTGTATTTGTCTTGTGTTACTGATAGTTTAGAATTGATGCTTGTTTTGACACCATTTTCTTTCTTGTTTCAGGTAAGTTAATAGCTCATGTCCACGACTACCAGAGGATGGCCGTAAGTAACTTATTTTGAAATGGGAGTCGAGGCCTAATCGCTAGGCTGTATAATTCTCTCTCTCTCTCTCTCTCTCTCTCTCTCTCTCTCTCTCTCTCTCTCTCTCTCTCTCTCTCTCTCTCTCTCTCTCTCTCTCTCTCTCTCTCTCTCTCATTTCCTCTCTTCTCCTCTCCCCCTCCCCCCCATTCATCTCCCTTCTTCCCTCCCCCCTCCCCCCTCTCTCCTCTCTCCTTCCCCGAACTTCCCGAAATGACGTCATCATCGTCTCACTGACGCTTCGTTTTCTATGAGCGAGGCGCGATTTGCATATGCCAAATCAAGCCAAAATCAAAAGCACGACCGCACGCCAGGAAACGTCGACAGGCAGCTTGAAACTCTGAAAAAGTAGATTTAGAAAAAAAAAAAAAAATCTGATAAAACTCGGAAGAAAAAAATTAATTTACTCTCCATCCTACCCCTTCCCTCCAACCTTCCCCCCCCCTCCCCTCCAACCTTCCTCCCCCCCCCCCCCCCCCCCCTCCGTACCGTTATATCACGAGTCTTTTATGAAATTACCGTGTCTACATCCCCTTAGTAAGGTAGGCTCGGGCGAGAGTGAGAGTGTGAGGGCATGGCGATGAGGAATATGGCTCGTGAGGGTGAATATTATGCCGGTATGAGGGAGTGAGGATGAGGCTCATATGGGTGCATAGTGTGGCGATATGAGGGCGTGAGGATGCCTAGGAATGAGGCTCATGAGGAGCGACATCATGGCGAAAAATGAGGGAGAGAGGAGCATGAGTGAAAGGCGGTGAGTGTGAGCGAGCGAGAGTGCGAGGGTGCGTTGCGTGCGGTGGAATGAAGGATAAAGAGTGCGCGAGGAGAGGATGCACTTCTTGCGAGCCAGCGCGCTCTGCCGTTAGCTCGGGAGTCTAAGAGCAAGGCGGAGGAAAGGGTGGGGGGGTGGAGTGGAGTGTGTGATCAAGGGTTTGGAAGAACTCGAGGGCGCCTCCTCTCGCCGCCGCCTTTCTCTCTCTCTATCCTTGCTTATCCTCATATTTTTGTCTTCGTCTTCCTCGTCCCGCCATTTTCCTGCCTCGCATCCGCCGTCTCCCCTTCGGCGCTTTCTGCAGCTCGCACTTTTCCTCTCCTCCTCCTCCTCCCATTCCTCCTCCTCCTCCTCCTCCTCCTCTCGTATCTCTTCGAGCGTCTCGTTCTCCTGCTCCGCCTCGCGCTCGTTCCCGCGGCCGCCCATCGCGCTGCTCGATTTATCGGTTGCGCTGCGCCCACGCCGCCCATTAGCTCCGCACTCATCTTATCTCGTTCCTCCGGCGGTGTCGTGGCCCCCTCCGCCTCCTGCAGCGCTGCTCTCTGCGTGCTGCCTGCAGGCCAGGCTTCCGGACGCGGCCTGGAATGGGCTGCGGAAGGCCGCGGGCTGGAGTGCGGCGCTGCCGAAGCCCGGACGCCAAGGCTTCAGCAGGGCGAAGAAAAAGCAGCAGGCGGAGAGCAGCAGCAGGAGGACGACACAACAAGTTTATCTGATAGCGGTATCTGGTCCCTGCAGTGGCGCTGTTATGCGATACCCAGTGTATTAGTTGGCAGGGCGAGGGGCCGTAGGAGCCTCGCTCAGGATTGTTCCCCTGGAGCACAACAGAGGGGAGGAAGGCAGGTAATTGAGGCAGGGGCGGTGGGCGGAGGGGAGGGAGTCATCAGGGGCGCTGCTCCACACTTTCTCGTTACAGTATTGGATCTCACGAGGGTCGGCGCACTCCCGCCGCCCACATCGCGGCCGCCCCTGCCTTGGCGCACTCCATAGTCTTATCTTTATTAACAAAGTTGGACCTCGGAGAGCCGGTCAGTAATACGCAGAGCGGGGC